TGATTATGAGTTATGTTGATATAATATTGGTATGGAAGACCCCGTGGGGTTCCTGATGCAGTTGGATATAAGACCATGTGGGGGTTCCCATGGTAGTGGGCTAAGACCACGTGGGGGTTCTAGTGGCTCCCGGTGTAAGACCTTGGAAGGTTTCCATGGCTTCCATATATGTTGATATGTATGGCTTGTGTAGTTGATATCAATTATATGGTTATGTGGATTGTATGGGGTATGCTCTAGGGAACTCACTAAGCTTCGTGCTTATAGTTTTGTTTATGGTTTCAGGTATCATCGATTTGGAAATGAAGGGCTCAGATTGATCGTAGTGCATACACCTATGATTTCTGAAATGAACGATTTTGGGATCAACTCTGATAAATGTTTTACTTAATGAGGATTTGACATGTTTGAAATAAACAGTATCAATGTTTTAGCTATAATAAAAATGAAATTTTTACCCTTGATTTTTGAGTCGTTACACTTTTATAAAAAATAATAATAAAAAGTAAAGTAAAAATAAAATCAGAAGGGTAAAATTGTCTTTCTATATCGACTAGATAACAAGCGCGCAATAAAACAAAAAAGAATTACCGTCCGAGTTAAAAATTATTCTCAGGGACCAACTATGTAAATTACCCCAAACCATAGGGACCATTCACGTAATTTACCCTTTTTATATCAACAAAAATGGTCTTGGGTTTGCTTTGTGAATCACTTGGTACGTAATGGTGATTTGTTGTTGTTTTAACAACATAAACATTGTAGTTAAAATTCAAAGATCATAATTAACTAAATCTAGTATGTGAAGTGATCGTTTGGGATTGATTTGAAATGGTAGTTGTTTGGTCTTAGAGAATTGACATGAAGAACAAACATGAGGTATATGTAATAAAGATGAAATAGACAAAACACCTAATTTATTAAGTAATGAAATAAGGTCAAATGAAACATGCGCTAATCGATTATGATGTAATTCATAAGATGCACTTATTTTGGAAGATTTAAACCGGAAAAAAAAACTTGATGTCCTTGCTTCAGCACATATAATCCATTCTCACATTTTCCCCTTGCAAATATTTCCTTTGTTACCCGATAAATTCTAAATTACAAAAAATAGATTAGAGAATAAAACATCAAGTGGAGCATCATGATTCAGCTTGCTAATGCTTAGGAGATTCTTGGTTATATTAGGGACAACAAGCACATTAGATAACTTGATGGTTAGAGACAGAGTTTTAGTGCCAATATGGGAAATAAAAGAAGAGTTAGCATTTGCAAAGATGACCTGATTAGTATCGGCATAGTGAGTGTGGTCTAGGATGGCGGAATTAGATGTCATGTGAGATTTTGCCCCAGAATTGACATACCAGTCAGGAGAATTGTTGGTGACATGACATTGAGCTTGAAAGCTTGAGGAAGATTGGTAGTGGAAGACGATCCTTGATTTGCGAAGTTTCTCAACTGGGGACAAGAGTTGGCATAATGGTTATTGGCTCTATAAAACTAACAATAAGGAGGGCGACACCCCCTTCCACGACTATCATTTAGAGCACCCCTTCCTCATCCTGAATATCTGCCACCAGATGAGTTACCATGGGAGGAAGCGGTAGATAATGATGACTGGCGAGTGGCGTTGAATGCAACAGTAGGAACTGTGGTTCCATGGATCGTTTTTAGAAATAATTCATGAGATTCAGCCTAGGATACTAGGTTCCGAAAACTTGGAGTCGGTTTAAGAGCATGATAAGTAATGGAGAATGTTTCAAACGAAGCTCCAAGCTCACATAAAAACCAATGGTTTTTATCCGTATCATCGTTTTTGGAGTTGACGTTGGTTGTCCCGAAGAAGATGCATATGTTCCTGAGAGTCTTGTCGATAGGTAACTTAAAGAGCATTCCAGACTTCGTGAGATGTGGTAAGGCCTAGGGTTTCAACCATTGCAGCTTCGGTAAGAGAAACTTGAATGATGAGAGATGCTTTTTGATCTGCTTCAAGCACACTAGCAACAACATCAGGGGCTGCTGTTTTTGGAGGTGCGACTTCGGTGATGTGGCCCGATAATTTTGATAGGCGACAAGGGTAAGAAGATAATTGCGCCATAGTAAGTAATTTGTGGGTGATAGTTTGACATTGATCATGTGGAGAATGGTGTTTAGAGGAAGAGAAGAATCGGAAGATGAGTTGACGCCGGTCATGGTGTGAAAAGAAGACCTAATCTGATACCATACAAGACTTATAATGTTCACCTTAAGTGATTTCATTGTATTCAATACTATATATATATATATATAATACATAAGGTACAAAAATAACATAACACACTATGCTAAACAGTGGCGGACACAGAACATTTTAGTAGAGGTAATACTAATTTTTTTTTCCGAAAAATTCTAAATTAATAGTGGTCATCGTATTTTAAGCAGGCGCACCTAATAGAAAAAACATAAAAAAACATATATATATATATATATATATATATATATATATATATATATATATATATATATATATATATATATATATATATATATATATATATATATATATATATATATTACACTACGTGTCGGAATCGGAGCCGTAACCCGGGTCCCCCCGAGCTCCACTAAGGTCCGCCGATGATGCTAAAATATATAGAGACTAGACAAATACTACAAATAATTATGATTTATTAACGGTCCTGTTATTCGCCCCCCATCTCCCCCTACAAACCCTATATATGCATGCGGTTTTTGCAATTTTTTTTTCTTTTGCAAATAGACTTCTTTAATTTACATTAGGGACCTTTTATTTTTAAAGTTTATTAAAATTTAAATTTTCCATTATTTTCTTTTCTTTTTTCTTTTTATATTGTTTATTTTTATTTTATTTTCTCTTATATTAACATTTTTCACATGTAATATTTTATTTTTAAACCTTAAATTTACATAAAAATCTTATATTATAGTTGAAATTTATTAATTTTTTCTTTAATATTTTTGTCATCGTGTTTTTGAAAATTTATATGATTTTGTTATAAATCAAATTAAATTTAATTCATACTTTGTAATGTTTATATCCAGTTCATTTTTTCATAAGTGGCATAATCATTTTATTTACTAGTATTTTTTGTTAATAAAAACATAAGATTTAAGTTCATTAAAAATGAATAATATATATATATATATATATATATATATATATATATATATATATATATATATATATATATATATATATATATATATATATATTCCCAAAGGGTTTGGGGAACAATACAACTTCAAAGTTTTGGGACAAAATTTTATAGAGATTACCACTTTTACTCATCTTTCATGTGGGGTTTAGACTTTTACCATAATTAATTCCCAAAAGGTTTAGGGAACAACAAACTTTTCTTACTTTTTGTTTTCACAACAATATTTTTTTTTCTTTTGGTCTTGTGGCGGAAGTTTAGAATTTTTTGGTTTTTACCACCATTGTGATTGTTATGTGGATTAACTTCTTTATAATATATTTTTAAAATTTTTTTTGCTGAGGTTTAGAGAATAGTATAGTGTTTTGTCTTTACAAATTTACCACACAAGTTTTTTGTCTTTACAAATTTGCCACATAAGTTTTTCCAGTTCTGGAAAGAAAGTTAACACTTTCGAAAGTTGTCAGTTTTGATCCGTTAGGTTTAACATGTCACTACACGCGTATAATAATAATTATTATTATTGTATCACTACACGCGTCTATGTCCCACACATTCATCTTTATAGTGTTTTAAAAATTGTTGTTTTATGAGTTTTTTGTCTTTACAAATTTACCATATAAGTTTTTCCAGTTTTATAGGGGGAAGAAGATTAAGACTTTTAAAAATTATCAGTTTTGATCCGTTAGGTTTGACATGTTGCCGATTTTAACCATAAACATAATTTCCTTTATTAAAACTGATTTTATGAAAATTATAATACAGTCCCTGGACTGTATATTTCATAATTTATTATTATTATTATTATTATTATTATTATTATTGACTATTGTCAATACACGCCTCTATGTCCCATACATTTGTCTTTATAATGTTTTAAAAATTGTTATTTTATGTTTCTTAAAAGTCATTATAGATTTTTAAAACTTTAGTTTAATTATTATTATCCATTTTTATCAAATCTTTTAATTATCTCCAAAATAATGACATAAAAATTATTGACTTATTGTCATGTTTTATTATATCATATTATATTCATTATAAAAAATTGCTTGGCATTAACAATTTCAAGCTTATCAAAAAATTTATTTAGTTTAAAACTAATCAATCAATGTTTAAGTAGAATCTTCACCTTTATGTTCTATTTACCTTTATGTTCAAGTGACTTTCAATTTTATTTAGAATTTCATAATTTTGTGAATTATAAGAATCGAAACTATTTAATAGTTCTTATTTTGTTACAGGTTTGCATAACAAAAAATTTTAACGTTATGTTCTTGTATCCAAGACCACAAAAAAAAGCTTTTCGAGGTTCAAACAACAATTGCTTAAAGTGTGAAAGAAATATATTCGAACCCACGCCAATGGCGCTGTGACGTTTTACAATGGTGCCAAGGTTCTAAATAACGTAAGACGTAACTTGACGGCAATGTCAAGTCTCAAGTTTTTCCGAACCTTGGCGAGTCATGACGTTTGTAAGACGTTACTTAAGGCGACAATTTTATATATAATTAATATTTTTATATGTATTTTCAACTATTATTCATTTTTATATAAATATATGAGTTAAGGCGGGATTTGAGAAAATTTGACGATATGTGCAAGCCTTGAAGTTGTCACGTGTCATAGTGAAGCCATGACGAACTTTTTAGAACATGATGGTGATATAAATCCCCTCTATGTCTCAATATCTTCGATCGTTGAAGATTTTGTTTTTAGTGGGTTTCCTTTTTGTTTTTTCCGACTAAAAAAACAATTATTTAAAGCAAACAATTAGCAGTGCAGCACCACCTTGGTAACAAAACAACAAAACAGGGTACGCTCATGACGCTTGCATACAAACCTCAAAAAATTTCTGGGCTCAACACCCCACTAATCACTCACACTCACCTGCTTCGACTTCATTTCTTAGCCAACAAGTTTCCTCAAACATATAATATAATTATAAACCCACGCCAAAATTCTCATATCAACTTCACTTATCTTGTGCGAACATTGTCGTCTTTCAGAGTAGAGGCCATGAGGCAAAAGAAGAAACAGAGCATTGTGAAATATGGGTACGAACCGTCTGCAGACGAAGACGATGGTAGTTATGAGAAATCGGAAACTGAAAGAGCGGTTCCGGTGGAGATTTTACGTCGGAGAAACAAGGAAAAACGCCGATTGAAGAAAAATGGTTGTAATTTACAGGATCCGTTAGTAGTATGTGGTGGCGATATCATGTTAATGATATTGAGCTTTCTCGACGCACACAGTGTGGCTTCATCACTTGTTGTTTCTTGTAGATGGCGTAGAGTCGCTTGCAGTGATACCATTTGGTCTGAAAAGGTAGACACACACAAACACACACACTCGTTCATTACTATCTATTTTCTTTTTTGTTTCTTAAAATGATACATATGTTTGCTTTTTTGTCCATATGATGATTTTGGTGATGGTTGGTTGTTTTATTTTTATTTTTATAATGAGCTACATAAATAGTGGTAGTCATCACTCATGTCACATAAGGAGAGCTTTTTCTGTATACGACTTGTTTGATGCATGTTCATCATCATAGGTACTTAGGTAGGGTAGGAATTGAATCAAAGATTGCGTAAAAGACCTAATTACCCTCTACCTTACTTGCTTATAGATCAAAGAGCTATGGGCCGACAAAGCTCATCTACCTCGTTTTGCCCAAGTTGAGGGGTTGTCAAAGTTGTCTGCTTACACCTTATCCATTCAAGATGGCAAACGGGTAAGTCTCTTTAAAGAAGTGAGAATCAGGTCTTAGGTTGTGGTCTGTGTGGATATGACACATACACTTTTATGTTTTTAGATATTATATTGACAACGTTTGTTCTCTCTTGGCTTGTGTTCTTTATTAGAATCGAATCTTGAAGGAAGATCTATGGGATCATGTTTGGGAGTTTCACTTTAAAGAGGCACGTGCTTTTTAATTCTGATTTTGCGTTATTAAAATGATTAAATACAAGAAACATCAACACAATTTTATTTGTATCTTCTTTATAATAAATTTGTATGTTAAAATATCTAGGTAATAACGTTGTAATTTTTCTGATTAAGACATTTTACTTTAAACAATCTACCGGTTATAGCAAACGAAAATTACTTTGTAAATTATAGTTAGATGATATTGGTATAATTCGCTATATTTTTCAAAAGTAGAATGCTTTAAAAAAATAAACATAGGATGCTATAACAAAAGGAAAATGCAAGTAAGATGCTATATAAAAGGGCTAAAAACAAGAAATAACAATGTACTTCCTCTTCCTAGGTTCAATTCTTTTATTGTAATTTCGTTTTTTTTCTTATTAAGACATTTGTATTTTGAAAAATCCTCCAAATTAAATGGTTTACTTCCAACTTTAGCTCTTATTAAAGCATTATACTTTAAAAAATATACCAAATTATACCACTTTGTAGTCTAGTCGGATAATAATATATAACCCTAAAATTTCCTCCATTATCCCAAAATCATATAATTTTATTGTTCGATTGGATTCAGGGTGTCCCAGAATATTGGCGGAATTTGGATCCATATTGGAGAGGCACAGGGCCACTAATGCATCGCTACTTCCATGAAGATGGAAGTCAAACTGCTGATGTTGATGATAAGGTATGGGGAGGCCATGAATGCTGTTACTCCATTGTTACAAGCTTCTTAGCAGATGGAAGAATTCGGGAACATTATGTAAGAATCAATAGTTGGCCACAACTGTCTATATCGAGGAAGCATGATTGGGGTTGGGAAATGTCAAATGGCCTCTATTTATACTCGAGTGTTCCCGATGCTTATAAGCCAGGTGGCACTGGTCCCTATCTTCCTGTTCATTAATTAATTTTTGTTTCTTGTTTTATTTTCCAAGTTTGTTTGGTGATAGGTTTTGAATATTTTAGATTGAATTTGCTAGTTTTTTTTGCGTTCAATATGTGTATTTGGTTTTTGGAAATTGCAATGACTTTTTTTTGGAAGAATTCAAGTTGAAAGTTACATATTTGCCCATTACCACTGATACATAAGATGTATTTGTTGATCTTTATTGATGGGAATTTTAGGTATTTGAGTAACATAAATATTTTACTTGAACTATGTGCATGGTAGATGTTGCAATACGATTTTACATGTCATATGTTTCATTTTGCTGATTAGTAACAATATAACTATAACTTGTCTTTATGCCATGTCATCATAAGTCAATTCAAATCAACCGTTATTTGTTACTACAAATTCAGAGTACTATATAATAAGAAGAAATTAAAGTTAGATAACTATTCCATATGTTTAATTTAAAATTTTAAATATTATTTATTGAAATGTTGAAGTATAGACCAGTTAAATAGAAGATCATGTTTATGTGCTTCTTTCTTTTGTGGTTACATTTTGTAGATACTAGAAAAATATGTATGTCATACGTAGAATAAAGTTATATAATTTTATTTTTTGCATCCACATTTTGAAAATAATACGATATTAACTATAAAATAATAACACTTACACTAAATTGATACATAAATTTGTATTTAATAAAAATTGTTTTTTGATATTTTTTATTTAATTTGATTTGTTCTATATTTATAATATTTAAACTTTTTTTTAACTATTCACCTAATGGATTTTATATAATATTTATATTAACAAACAAGTGTATTATAATTAATGTTCTAAAAAACTTGTCATGACTCAAAGACTTGTATTTGCCACCAAACTTTGACAAAGTGCCGCATTAAATCACATATGTATATAAAAATTAATAATAGTAATATATATATATATATATATATATATATATATATGGAATTATTAATTATATACAACGTTGTCGTCTTAAGTCACGCTTTACAAATGACGTGTGTCACAACCAACATTTTATCTAGAAAATTCCATTCTCGTGTAAACAACATCTATTGTAAGATATATACTCTAAGTGAATATCATATTCTATGCTTAATCAAAATCATCCATTGAATAAAACTTCACTCAAGAAGCCCATAACATAATACAATACATCTCATATAGTCAACTATGAGTTGGAAACCCTACAAATTCTAGTTCCATTAATATGAACTAGGATTCTCTCATTGAGCTTGATGAATCAATAAACCTTCAACTTGACTATGTTGGGCCTAGGAACCCTAATTGGGCTCTAATTGGACCCACATCCATATGATTTTAGCATTTGGGCCTTGTTGGGCCATAAATGATTCCATTTTCCCTAATGGGCCATAAACCCTTTTAATTGGGCTTCATAGATTCGAACAAGTCAAGAGAAGGACCAAATTTATTCAATACCTTCTTCCAAGCCCAATTCTCGGCCCAAACTAACAAAAAAAAAAGATTTGCATGGAACTATATGATGACACCTCAACATTATTTATCATACATCTAGGGTAATTAACCTACATACATCCATGCATTACTCTAATGTCCATCAAGTAATAACCAAAAATCAAAACCCTCCCTCTCTCTTCTTATTACACTCGGCCGAAACCCCCACCACACCACCTTCATTTTTCATTTCAAACACTTTTAAAACTCTCTCAAGAACTCCTCCTTCCCCCTCTAAAATTTTGAGATTTGGTGGGTATTTTCAAGAGGTTTTTCCATCAAGATCATCATCTTGGTAAGTTCTTACTTGAATCTATGGTTTAACTTCTAGATTTCAGCAAAACCCTCTTCTTAACCCATATCATTTCATGATCCATACTCTTGAACTTCATTGAGTTCGAAAACCATCTCAAGGAGCTTGCTAGGGCCGAATTCTCCTCATCTTCTTCATCAAAAACCGAAACTTCAAAGCAAAGTGAGTTCATACCCATTGTTTTTCGGTTTTACAATGGTTTGGGGGAGGATACAAGTTGCTATGTGTTAGATCTATGTATTTGTGCATGTTTATGTTTGTTTTCCATGTTATGTATTGTGATTTTGTGATGAAACTACATGGATCTCGAAATCTATAACAAAAGTTTGTGATATTTGTAAACTATAACACTTATTACATCACACCATGAAAATGAACGTGTAAACATGTGAAGATTGTTTGGATAAGTTAAACAAAATCTTGAAATAGAGCCATTTTGACAAATAAACAAAAAGATGGGATTTTTATAGCATATACGGTTTTACAAGGACTAAAGGAGTCACTTTTATATAAAAATGGGTTTTTATGATATTCTTGGTGATAAAGGGGCCAAAAACGTAATTTTTGCATAATGGGTCTTAGAAATGGGCTTTTCAGTTTTGTTGGACCTAAATTGTAAAAATTCCGATTTTTATGGATTAAATTGTCATTTTACACAAGTTTGAGTCAAAAATGTAAACTTACGGTTTTATGGGTTGAAAATGCCTTATTATTTGGATTTGGGCTTAAAATACAATTTTTCCAAAACTTGGACCGAAAATGTTGTTTTTATGAAAAATGAGATAAAAACGTAATTTTTATAATCATGGGCCGAAAACATCAAAGTATACTTACTTGGGCCAAAAATGTCAATTTCTATAAAAATGGGGCAAAAATGACATTATTACAAAAATTAGGCCTTTTATGCTATTTTGGTAAACAAATGAACTCAAACATACAACGAAATGACAAACGAACTAAAAACATTGATTACTTGTTTATTGGGCCTAATATATTAATTACATGTTTATGGGGCCTTTGTGGTCCATTTACATATTTATTGGGCCTAATATATATACATTATATGTTTATTGGACCTTTATGGTCCATTTACATGCTTATTAGCCCTCGACTATACATTACATGCTTAGTGGACCTTAGTTGCCCTTTTGCATGTTTTTTGGGCCTTATAAATTCACATGCATACTCGTGGGCTTTGAAAATTTTAAACGTACTCGGATATATCATATATGGTGAAATTCAATATTCGCATAAACAATTAAGGATCTAGTGAGATATGTCGGTTGACACCTTTGAGTGTACAATTGTAGCATGTAGTTATAACCAGAGTCTCCTGGAGGGAGAGTGAGAGTTTGTGTATAAATCTATACGGGTGTGACTCCCCCACACCTAAGCTGTTCATTACAGTTTGACTAGGTCAGTCTAGGGTGACAAACCTTACCTTCAATAATCGGACGTATGAAAGACGTCATGACATTAGTATTTATCAAGCATGGTTGTAACAGCTCGCATAGGGATCAACTCTATTATAGATTTACAACATACAAATAGTATCTAGTTGATACGAAAACATGCATTCACCGAGATAGGGTCTTAGGGCTTGAGATCACGACACTCTTATAAGAAGAAAATATCGAATTTTCTGGGGAAGTATACAATTAAACAAGAACCTTCTACTTACAACAGATAATACAAAGATTTTCCGGATTTTATATATATATATATATATATATATATATATATATATATATATATATATATATATATACACATTCTGAAATAGAAAACACACATGCATTATTACTTGATTTTGTCACATCACGTTCAAACCATTTTTCAGAAAATATCGGATTTCTCTGGCGATTTACTAACAATGCAAAACTTTTTATTCAAATATGCTTATGAACTCACCAACATTATATATGTTGACGTTTTAAAAATAACTTGTATTCTCAGGGAATCGTTAATCTGAAAGGTCAGCAGAGAATGTGGAATTTGTTATATTTTGTTATCTTCATACATTGAATATTTTGGCATGTAACTATGATACTATACTTGATGCAAACAATGTTGGTTGTATTTTGATATGTATGATGATGGTGTTGTCTTGATTCAATTATTTACATTGTCACGATATTACAAGATGAAGTCACGCACAAGCCCCCAGACGTTTCCGCCATCTGGTTTGTGGGTGTGACAATGTGGTTCACTATGGCTTAAAAAAACTTGAGGTTTGACATTGTCGCCAAGTCACGCCTTATTTTATTTAGAAACCTGATTATAATGATCATTTGGAAGTCTACCAATAATAAAATTATTTTTTTATTTAATAATATATATTTTAAATTTATAGATTAATTATATTAAGTTGAAAATTAAAAAGTCATGAATGTTTCAAATACATATAGTCATAGAAGAATATATGAACCAAAGTGTAATGTCTTCACTCGTTTTGTTAACACATATTGCATTATTTGTTCCTTGGGATTTTAATAATAATACTCATTGAAGGGGAAGTGTCTGTTGAAGTGAAAAGTTCCATTGAGCTTCCATATATGTCTAAATGGTAAACATGCTTTAGATTTTAGGAAGAAGATAAAAGAATCTATGAACCAAGGTGTAACAGTATTGTCAAACTATGGTAGAATTTGGTTATTTTTTTTTCTTGGGCTTGGAAGGGATAAAAAAATACATTTTTATCCTTGGCTTTATATCATCTGTTCAACAAATAGGGCTATGCATGCAGTTTTTCTTGCAACTTCAATTCTGTTTTTTAGATTGCTTATTTTTAAAACACATTGCTGTTTTGATTGATCATATTCCTAATTACACTGCCTTCATTGCATGATTAGAAGCCTTTTGGGCTTCGGAACCATGATTGTTTATTTTGTATTTGATTAGTCATATGTTTCAATGTCACGAGGCTTTAAACGGGTTGAATTTTTATTAAGCCTCACATAACAATTTTAATTGTCTATTTCATACTATTAGCAGTTCTAAGAAGAGTATTACGACATCCCTAATTTTTCATGGTGAAACATCCAAAAAACACAGTAAAAAAGTTTTGTTTTTAATTTATTAATAAAACCATGAATAACATCATCAAATAAATATCATAAAACACGTGTCATAAAAACATCTCATAACTATTAAAATATCATAATGTCATCTCAAATATCTGAGTAAAATATCTCAG